AAGTTAGAGTAATAGAAATTCATTATTAAAAATAATGAATTGCACTTATCATATTCAAAATCCCATCATTTTGATATGTGTGGCTCCTCACAAGTGCTAATGTTAAAGGAAACTTTGTGTGAAATGCCAATATGAGCATGGAGTGGATTTGAAATATACGATTCCAATCGATATATTTTAAGAAAAGGCAATCAATAAATTAAAAGACTCAAAGACTAATGATATATCTGAACTATCAAAATAAAGAATGGCCTTTAAATCCTTACTCTCTCAAACCGAACAATTGATGAAGAAAATTTGGGAGGAGTTGTCACAATCAATCAAATAAGTATATGATTAGATTGAAAAGGAAAACTAATCATACTTAAACCTCATTAATGAAAACACCAATCTAGCTGAATGCTCTTACACTGATATAGAAAAATTAGTAAACATTGTAGAAGGAAAAACTTTAATTGATTGGAATGCTGAGAAAAATTCTTATATGAAGGAGTTAGATAAGGCCAAGAGCTGGTGGGACCAACATATGAAGGCTTTTATTGAGAAGTCTAAATAAGGAATTCAATGGATCCAATCATTAATTAAGTAAGTATTTATTTATAATTGAAGAATTTCGCCTAATCAAGAAGAAGAATCACAAGAAGTTTATTAAATGAAGGAAGATCTTAATGAGATGCTAACCTACATTCAGGATATAGATGGAAATCTCTATTAGAAGGTTCTTGAAATACTTAGAAAAGAGAAAGTTTCAGATATCTTAGAATTTCTTTCGAAGACAAAAGATCTGAAGTTTAATGAATCTTTAATCAACAAGTAAGAGAATTTAAAGGATGTCATGAAGCAAGTAAATAAAATCACAAATGTCTTGAGAAATATTTAGAATCATAAATTTAGTAAAGAAGACTATTCTCAAAAGACTTATGAAAAGGCAAGATAAGATTTAATAAAGATGATGAATGATAATTAATCAATCATATATTTCATCAAGTTTTTAGTTCTCATCACAAGCATAGATGGTAAATTTATTTAAAGTGGATCAAATGCATTGAATTTATTGGTTGTAATGAAGGTTGATATTCGGAACGAATCATTTGAGAATATCAGAATAAAGAATACATCTATAATTGGAGGAAACTTTGTAAGATGTAATTTGAATAGATCAGAATTTGAGAATGTGGATATTAGCGGAGTCAATTTTAATGGAGCTTAGATGTTCAATTGTAAATGGAAGAACATAAAAGTACATGAATTGAATAGGTTGGATGGCCATAGTAGTTGTGTTAGATCAGTCTGTATTTCTCCTGATGGAAATACATTAGCTTCTGGTAGTGATGATAACTCTATCCGTCTATGGGATGTCAAAACAGGATAATAAAAAGCCAAATTAGATGGTCATAGTAATTATGTTAACTCAGTCTGTTTCTCTCCTGATGGAAATACATTAGCTTCTGGTAGTGATGATAAGTCTATCCGTCTATGGGATGTCAAAACAGGATAATAAAAAGCCAAATTAGATGGTCATAGTAATTATGTCTAGTCAGTCTGTTTCTCTCCTGATGGAAATACATTAGCTTCTGGTAGTGATGATAAGTCTATCCGTCTATGGGATGTCAAAACAGGATAATAAAAAGCCAAATTAGATGGTCATAGTAATTATGTCTAGTCAGTCTGTTTCTCTCCTGATGGAAATACATTAGCTTCTGGTAGTGATGATAAGTCTATCCGTCTATGGGATGTCAAAACAGGATAATAAAAAGCCAAATTAGATGGTCATAGTAATTATGTCTAGTCAGTCTGTTTCTCTCCTGATGGAAATACATTAGCTTCTGGTAGTGATGATAAGTCTATCCGTCTATGGGATGTCAAAACAGGATAATAAAAAGCCAAATTAGATGGTCATAGTAATTATGTCTAGTCAGTCTGTTTCTCTCCTGATGGAAATACATTAGCTTCTGGTAGTGATGATAAGTCTATCCGTCTATGGGATGTCAAAACAGGATAATAAAAAGCCAAATTAGATGGTCATAGTAATTATGTCTAGTCAGTCTGTTTCTCTCCTGATGGAAATACATTAGCTTCTGGTAGTGATGATAAGTCTATCCGTCTATGGGATGTCAAAACAGGATAATAAAAAGCCAAATTAGATGGTCATAGTAATTATGTCTAGTCAGTCTGTTTCTCTCCTGATGGAAATACATTAGCTTCTGGTAGTGATGATAAGTCTATCCGTCTATGGGATGTCAAAACAGGATAATAAAAAGCCAAATTAGATGGTCATAGTAATTATGTCTAGTCAGTCTGTTTCTCTCCTGATGGAAATACATTAGCTTCTGGTAGTGATGATAAGTCTATCCGTCTATGGGATGTCAAAACAGGATAATAAAAAGCCAAATTAGATGGTCATAGTAATTATGTTAACTCAGTCTGTTTCTCTCCTGATGGAAATACATTAGCTTCTGGTAGTGATGATAAGTCTATCCGTCTATGGGATGTCAAAACAGGATAATAAAAAGCCAAATTAGATGGTCATAGTAATTATGTTAACTCAGTCTGTTTCTCTCCTGATGGAAATACATTAGCTTCTGGTAGTGATGATAAGTCTATCCGTCTATGGGATGTCAAAACAGGATAATAAAAAGCCAAATTAGATGGTCATAGTAATTATGTCTACTCAGTCTGTTTCTCTCCTGATGGAAATACATTAGCTTCTGGTAGTGATGATAAGTCTATCCGTCTATGGGATGTCAAAACAGGATAATAAAAAGCCAAATTAGATGGTCATAGTAATTATGTCTACTCAGTCTGTTTCTCTCCTGATGGAAATACATTAGCTTCTGGTAGTCATGATAAGTCTATCCGTCTATGGGATGTCAAAACAGGATAATAAAAAGCCTAATTAGATGGTCATACTAGTTGTATTAACTCAGTCTGTTTCTCTCCTGATGGAAATACATTAGCTTCTGGTAGTAGAGATAACTCTATCCGTCTATGGGATGTCAAAACAGGATAATAAAAAGCTTAATTAGATGGTCATACTAGTTATGTTATGTCAGTCTGTTTCTCTCCTGATGGAAATACATTAGCTTCTGGTAGTAGTGATAAGTCTATCCGTTTATGGGATGTCAAAACAAGATAATAAAAAGCCAAATTAGATGGTCATGATGATGCTGTCTGGTCAGTCTGTTTCTCTCCTGATGGAAATACATTAGCTTCTGGTAGTAGAGATAACTCTATCCGTCTATGGGATGTAAAGACAGGATAAGAAATCAAATCCTCTGATAAAAACTACAAAGATATTCTTGCATAATTTAAAATACCACTTTAGAATAGTTCATTATTACCAAATGGTATTTTTTATTTATTATTTTTTAGTTGAGCCAGATCGTACTATACTTAGGATTTGTTAGAATCCTTTATTAGAAGCAAGAGGTACACTTATATTGTAAGGAGAATTTATGAACCATTAAGGAAAAGATTTGAAACCCTTTTTGAAATCCAAAGGTAGTTGCTATTTGGAAGACTTATAGAAAAAGTGATTTTGATGATTATCAAACAAAAATTATAATTACAATCAATATCTAATATTTTTTTTAATTCTGTCTTTATTAGTTTCACTCTTAATCTTCACTTCAAAAGCTAGGTAAGATCTTATTCATTAAAGCTTTTTTCAATTTAACTGTATCTACACCACATTTATTCAATATTTTGAAAATATACGATCAGTTTAGTGTAGGGATTATTTATTTAAATATCATAAAAAATATTATCAATTAATATATTTATAGAGATGAAATTATAAATGATACTACTTTTAATTAATATTCTAAACAGAGAACAGTAGGCTAATTGAAGAGATTAAAATAAAGATTGATATAATTACTTAAAGAAAACTAATTTAGCACAACATTCTTGTATAATTCATTAAGAATTATATGATAGATTTACTTAATTTAACATTATTTATAATAGGGATTGATATTAAAAATAACAAATTAATAATTTTGAAAGATTAAGTTTTAATTCATAAATAGTAAAGATATATTTTATCAAAAAAGATAATAAAAAAGATACTTCAAGAATTCAAAAATAAAGTTAATCTTCTCCTAGATAAATTTAAACATTGAGATTGAATGATTTTTCTAATTACTCTACTCTATTTTTTCTTAACCTCTTCAATTGATATTAAAAGTATAAAATAGTATAAACGACTGAAAAGGTATAAGTATTTTTTTTAATTATTAACTTTTTCGGTCCCTAACAACCATCTAACAACATTAATTATTGTTAAACTAAAGCTCAACCTAAATTGTAACATACTTCAAATAATAAACATTGATAAATCACTGAGTTTAAGTACACAGCTTTTTTAAGAGTCAGAACTATATAATAATTGTTACCTTCAAGACGATTTTCACGAAATTAATTAATTTATATACAAAATATTCCTGAATAATTCTTAAATTATTAAAAACCTTATTCTTTAGTTAAACACATCAACTAATTAAATTTTAAATTTAAATTAATTCACTAAGTAATTACCCAAAAATTATGGATAGTGTTTTGGTCATAGTAATAATGTTAGATCAGTCTGTTTCTCTCCTGATGGAAATACATTAGCTTCTGGTAGTAGAAATAACTCTATCCGTCTATGGGATGTGTAAAATGGAAAAGAAATTTAATCTGCTGACAAAAAATATAAAGATATTCTTGCTAAATTCAAAGCACCACTATTTTCAAATAATCCTCTGCCAGGTATTTCATTATTTATTACCTTTTAGAATCCAACAATATTACAATTCTAAGAATATCTTAAACACCACTATTCCAAGCGCAAGGAGCATTAATCTTGAAAGGAGAATTTATTAATTATGAAGGATACGATTTAAAACCTTTATTCAAATCAAAAGGAAGTTGCTTTTTGGAAGACCTTAAGTAAAAGTGATAATTATTTTTCATTAACAACAATTACAATTATTATTAAAATACTCATTCCTAATTTTTTTTGATTTAATCTTGTTTTTGTTTTCTTCATTATCTTCATTTTTTAAGATAGATAATTACATGCTTTTCAAAAGTATTCCCTTTCAAGGAATTGTAGGGTATATTTATTGAGATCTCCTTAAAAAACTGATATTAATTAGCATTTATAGAGATTTAAATATTAAATGATACTACATTAAATTAATAATCCAAACAAAGAACAGGAAGCTAAATGAAGAGATTAAAATAAAGATTGATTTTAATTACTTAATTGAAAACTAACTTAACAAAAAACTGCATGATTATTTCATAAGATATTCTGATAATTTATTTAATTTTTTACTTTTTATAAACATTAGTCTTAATAGATATAATTAATAATAATGTAAAATTAGTTTATAAATACTAAAAGATATATTTAATAACAAAGATAATAATAAAAAAGATTTGACAAGGATTAAAAAAATAAAGTCAATCTTAGAATATAATCTAAACTATATAACAAAAGTTAACAATATGATATTGATTAATTTTAATATTACTCTCAATTCAAGATAATGTATCAATCAACTGTTAATTGCCAAAGATATTAAAAAACTTTGAAAACATATTAAAAATATTATATTTTTGTATATTATTAAGATGTAAGGAGATAATTATATCTTCTCTAACCGTATTATATATGAATCTTAATTATTGATTAACATGAGCTCAACGCGAAAATTTTACATACATCAAATAATAAACAGTTATTACTTAATGTATAATCACTGTTGTCCCTTCAAAATGATTTTTTTACAAAATTAATTAATATCTATTCAAAAATAACAATTACATTAAGAAATTGCACCTAAATTGTAGAATTAAAAAGGAAATAATTATTGGTATTGATAAACATAATGAATAATCTGTATAAAATTTATCTATTATATAACAACCTCCTAAAATAAATTGGACAATAAATTATTTAAATATATAAAAAAGCATTAATATTTGTCACACTTAAATGCATGTGTATTTTCTCTTAAATTTCCAAAATAAGTATTTTACTAATAAAAATTTTTCAATAACATTGTTAAAATTTAAAGTTTATAAAATCAATTTAATAAAAAAATAATAGTATTACTGTTAATTAAATATGAGTTGAGATTATATTATTTTGTAAATATTAGAATATATTGACTCTCAAGAAATACGAAGATTAGAAAACTTAGAAATGATAAATGCTGAAAGATTTAGTTGTAGAATCTACTTTATAAATCTTGTACAATTCACATTCTAAATTTAATTTGAGAGAAAATGCTTGGTTATGATAAGAATAATACCAAAAAAACAGTATATAAAGACTTATGAAATTCTTGCATTCATGCAACTAAATTTTCTATTTGATAATATTTAAAAATGGCCTAAATTAATTTCCATTTTAGTAATGCTTCAAGATTGTTTAAAAAGAAAAAAACTATAAAATAGAACTCTATCAACAAATATTGGACACAAGAAGTATATTAAAATAGATTTAAATTAAGGGTTAATATAGGTTAGTTTTTAAATTAATCAAGTTTTATGGT